ATATATATATATATATATATATATATATATATATATATAATATTAATATTTGAACAGAAACTAACTGATCAAATATTTAATGAATCATTTCCACCCAGTACAGTCCCTACTATATTCTGAATGTGTACAGTTGGTAATCATGCAGCAATGCTGCTTGGAAAGTAAAATTGACAACATCATGCAGACTAACCAAGAATATTAGGAAATTGCTGTCCCATTTTTTTCCCTCATTATGTACGTGGGTTCAGAACATCACTTTCTAGTTTTATTATTGAGTCCCAAGTTTGTCTTCAAGATGCAATTACATTTGAAACACATTTTAACTGGTAATTCTAAGTCTATTTGCCCTCTGACCTACAAGAGCCTAAAAAAGGATTTCTGAAGATGAATATGTTCAAGTCAAAGCTTTTATGTTGCTCCAGGAAAAATATAAAAAGGAAAGTATGTGTCATAATAATGAGAAAACAGCATATTTACTTGATGGACGGCCCTTCATATAAAATAGAGGCAATCATTTGGCTCCACAATAATTTCTATCTATAGATTTTAAAGTTACATTCTTAACATTATTCATGCCTTGGAGTAGACATCTCTATATTTTTATGGGTGAGATAAAAAAAAAATCCACATTGATCGTTTTTTAATAGCGATTCTGTCTCAGTGATATTTGTACCATTCAAAGATTTTTAAACATATAAATCTTTTGGGGCTATTTTTTAATGCAGGTAACTAACCTTCTAAGCTTATACATTTAAGTGTAGGGTATTTCTTTGAGGGTTATTTTGGTTTTATTTTGTGTTTTTTGCTTTACTGTTCTGGTCTGAATATTTGGTATCTACTGCTTCCTTCTACCCCTAAAACAAATAATGAATATAAACTATCATAGGTAACAGTTATTTCTTCTCACATAATTACTATTCTTGCTGCAAAATAAATCTGGTGAGATACATTTTAGTTTGCATGTTGTCATATTTGCTAATATGATCTTTACATTGAACAACTACTAACATTTTAATTGGCTTCTTTGATTATTTGATTTATTTGTTTACTTACTATGGCTATAAACTGTTTCAGTGATAATAGATTGTGAAAGATATTCGGAGACCATCTTATCATTCATTGCAGTAATTGTGTTAAAATAGACACGCATTCCTGCACAATCCAAAATAATTGCAGACAATGTTAACATATAGATGTTCTACTTTAAGAAGGGTCAAAAGAAGCATATTAGACCTTCAAGATACACTGGAAAACCCAGGTCTTTCTAGCTTTATGAAAGTCAAGGATGTAGGATCTAATTTGTAGAGAAATTCAGAGAGGGGGTGCATTGTCCAGAGAAAGCGCTGAAAAGTCCTTCTCCAGGGTCCCTGCAGATGGCAATCGTTAAAGGCCCATAGAGAATCTTTTCTTCTCAAAAATAATGAACAGGTAGAAACCACTAGGACAGGGCTGTCAAACACACGGCCCTCTGGGCTGGATGCGTCATGTGCTGACCATGCCTGCGCCCGGTTTAGCAAAGGGGGGGAGGAGTCCAGATGCATCATATGACGATGCTGTGATGATGTGAGTTTGACATCCCTGCACTAGTAGAAGGCAATACCAAAGATATCCAGGCCCTGATCCCTAAAAAAAATTAAAACTCTTAAACAGAATCCTGGATTACTCCTTAAAACAAACTAGTTACAAGTGCAGTTCTCATAGTAGTAGTAGTAGTAGTAGTAGTAGTAGTAGTAGTAGTAGTTGTTGTTGTTTTATCTATATCTGTTACTGTCTGAAGTGCTGTATTTTGGACCAACAGAAGCCTCTGAGTCGTCTTCAGGGGCAACCCCAAGTACGATATATGAGAGTAGCCCAATCAAGAGATGACCAAAACATGAATGATGATAAGTAGAAGATTCTGTTCCAGAAAAGGTTGTACTGTAAAACACAAGATGGAGCTGCTGATTGTGCAGGAGTAGGGAATGTAGGAGGAGCCAAAATTACAGGTCATCCTTGACTTACAACAATCTGTTTAGTGACCATTCAAAGTTACAGCAGCACTGAAAAAAGTGACTTATGACCTTTTTTTACAGTAGCAGCCTTTGCAACATCCCCATGATCATGGGATCAGAATTCAGGTGCTTGGCAAATGTTTCATATTTATGACCGTTGCTGTGTCCCAAGGACATGTGATCACTTTTTGCAATCTCCTCACAAGAAAGTCAATGGGGAAGCCAGATTCACTTAACAACTAGGTGACTGATTTATCAACTGCAGTGATTCACTCAATAAGTGAGGCAAGGAAGGTTGTAAAATGATGCAAAACTCACTTAACAAATGTCTCACTTAACAACATAAATGTTGGGCTCAATTGTGATCCTAAGTTGAGGACTACCTGTATAAACTAGCTCTGTTCATGGAAACATGAGTATTCAATCAAAGAGTGATCACTCTTTGTGATCCAATGGCTGTAATATTCCAAGATTGTTTAGCAATGCTTTTCTGAGTTCTTCTATGTTCCTGCTAGTGTCATTAATAGTAGTATATAATCTTGTCTTCTCTAAGGCTCCTTTTTTTCTATTACATTAGGATGTTTTTCCAGGCTTTAAGATCTTTTCCAACAACACTCTCCTTTGTATTATGTGTCTGAAATATTTAAGCTTTAGCATCATTATTAATGTTTCCAATAAGAAGTCTGATTTTACTTCCCATAGCACTGAATAATTTGTTGTCTTTGCAACCCAAAGAATCCTTAACGGTTTTCTCCAGCTCCATATATCAAAGGCATTAACTTTTCTTCATTCAGCATTTTTTAGGATCCAACTTTCTCAGCCATTTGTTAAAACAGGGAAACTATTGCTTTTATAATATGAGCATTTCTTGTACTATCTTTGCATCTTAATATTTTATCTACACCTCTCATCCAAGTAGCAGATATTTCTTTATTCCATTCTTTATTATGATCACTATCACTGTAAATTTTTGAGCCTATGAAAATAAAGGGTTTTTTTTTTTACTATTACTTTACCTTCTTCTATGCTTGGGTGCATTGAATTGGCATTCTCTGTTGATGTAATCTTAATTGTTCTGCATGAGGTTTTGTTTTGGTATTGTTTTGATTTTTGATTTTTTTTGTTATTTGTATGGAACAATCTGCAGACTAGCTTTTGCTTCTCTTCTTTTAAATTCAACAAGACATTTTTTTAAAAATCTCCTGGTTATCACTGTGGTATCATCAACATAGCTGAGGTTTTTATGTTTCTCCCAGCTGCATTGATTCTAACCTGTATTTCTTCTAGTGAAATATTTTCATTATATATTTGACATATATTTAATTGTTCTGTGTCCTATTAACATTATCACTTGCAGTTGTTATATAAATTCTTCAATGGACAGATGAGGTGGTCTAGTATGTTCATATTTGAAAAGTATCTGCTATTTCTTGTGATCCACTATCAAAAGTCTTTGTATGATTAATAAAGGAAAAACACATCTTTTTAGAAATTGTCTAGAATTTTGCCATTATACATTCAGTGTTAGCACTGTGAACTCAGATGCCCACACCTCTTCTGAATCTTGCTTTAATATCTGACAGTTCTTAGTTAGCATATAAGTCTGGACTGCAAAATTTATATACAGTATATTGGCTATTGGAATATAAATGGGTCTCCTCCAGTTTCTTGGCTCTAGGATATTTGTCTTACCTGATTATAAACTAACTGCAAGTGATTTTCTAGAGCCCATTTAATGTTACTTTTCAAAATGTTTGGCTAGCTCTAGTACAGGGATGAAACCTTGCTTAGCAGTAATTTATTCTTCCGTAACTTTGTGCTGTTCTCCCAGATCTTCAATATCTTTACATCTTATTATGTTTGTTTTTGTATGAAAGCTTCACTTGCCTTCTCCAATTTTCTTAAATAAATATCTTGTTTCTCCTTTCAAATTATATTCTTCATATATTTACATTTGCTAATTTTATATGACTCCTTGCCTCTTCTTGCTTTTGTCTTGAATTCATACTTGAACCGATGTTCAGTTTTGACATAGTTGCTCTGGCCACATTCACTATTTCATAGTCCTGGCAGTCCTTTGTAACATTGCCCTGGTTATGAATGTTCCTTTGGTGAAATACTGAAGTGGGTTGCCATTTTCTTCTCTGAGGGATCATACAGTATTTAGTCTGTTCCTTTGTCTATTACTTGTCCATCATAGATGAATCTTCTGGAAGTTAAAGTCCCAACAGTATAGCATAGCATCACTGGGATATGCAGATACTTTCACTGCTGCAAAGTAGTAATATTACAATTTTTGCATATATTTGCACAACCTTTCATCAGAATTATTAATACATCTCTTTTATAACCCTAGAATTACCTTATTTTCAAATTATGAAATCCATACCAATATTGTGTACATTTGCCTGTTTAGCGTGATGTTCTTTCAGAGTTTCAGATAATAACATTCAGTAATCAAATGAAATGGTCAACTTCCTTGTTTGCTTTTGGAAAGTAATTCTGTAAATTCAATAAAGTAAATTGACTGGGTCTTTACTGAGTCTTATTTTTTTGACATACCCACAGAAATGCCATTGGTTTTAAAAATAATGATAATAATATTACAGTAAGCACTAAGTGAACTCTTAGTGACTTTTAGATAATTAGTTTTAAAAATTAAAAGATCCTATGGGACACATCTAGCAACAGTTGACAGTAAAAGCACAATATACAAAAGACTTTCATAATGCAGAACCCAAAACAATACGGAAAAATATTTAAAATAATATCGTGTATGTACAAGTTTCAAATATAGTAGGTCATTTGACTTCATTAGGCAGTTTCTTCAGAATTGTTCAGAAATTGAGTTGTCAAAACAGGACTTGGTACATTGTCAGATATTCTGGTGTATTCTGGTATGGATTGTGATGTCCATAGAGATTACTACACAAAATTGCCAGTAGTTTATATTCTAAAGCCAGATCTCTAGAAAATTCATGTCAATTTATTTCATGAGTGGAACTAAAAATATTAAAAATTGATCTTTGTTTTTCTTTTGCCTTTAATTGCCAATTGAAGATTAAAGTATCTGTAGCTTCAGGAGGAAACTGTATTCGAACATACAGACCAGAAATTAAAAAAGGATTGTACAACACCGTTATTCTAAATGTAAAGACAACTGTTCCTGATAATCTACTTTTTTATCTTGGAAGTAACAGATACGTAAGTCCACATTAGTTTTTCTTTCAAAAATTGTTACTATCTGATTGTATATTGGTATTAATTCTGGTAATATAGCTGGTGCATCATCTGATGTTCGTAGAGCTACCTATCATTACTGTTGCCATTTCCCATAAGTCACCGTCTCATATCATCAAGTCTGCATTTTCCCAAGGGACAGCAAAAGCAAGTATTGTTGTTATCAAAACCCCTTGGCTCAAATTAGGGCTCTGTCATTGCTTGTGTAGGAAACTAATTAGTAGTATTCCTACTGCTGAACCCTTAACTAGGCTCAGTTAATCTAATATGGGGGTGCCTTCCTTGGAGTGAATGACCAATTATAAATTTGATACGGATAGGATCTGGACCATTTTTGTTTTACCACAATAGTGATAAATAATGTTTAAAAATGCTGGTGTTTCTAGCACTCTCATCAGGTGGCAAAAATGAAAATAATTTGAAAGAGGAAGCTGGGGTAGAAGAGAATAAGACATTTGTTAGGAGGAGCCCCATCAAAATGGAGAGATACTCCAAAGGAACTAAATTCACAGGGAAGAAGATCAAAAGAACTTCTAGTAGAGAATGTAATTTGTAAACTTTTAAGGAAATAATACAACTGATGGATTAATTAACTTTATAAAAACTGGGTCAAAAAAAAATTAAATAGTTTTCATTTGTTTCTAAAGCCCAAGAGAAACAATAACCTGCAAAACTGATTCAAAAAGAAGTTTCAGCCAAAAAAAACCCACATTCATATTATATAGTATTGTAAAATCAGTAAAATAAATTAAAAATAAAATGTATGTGAGGTATCCCTGGGCAGCAGATATCATTATGCAAAAGTATGAAGTTATGATAAAGAGAACGGGATGTTATTGAATTTCCTGTTTCTATAATGTTTCCTCTTTCTGTTACCTATATTTAAAAAAAAAAGATTTAAGCATTTTTAAATATGTAAATTATACAGGAAATTATGGATTATGCAAGACAGTAATTGACAACCAGTACTAATGGGAAAGGTAATGTTTCAATTCATAAATATTACACATAGAACATGATAAAGAAAGATTTTCAGAAAAAATTACATTAAGATTCTTAATTACCTTCGTGGTAGTATATAACTATTCATTGCACTTAATTGCTTCATTTTTACTATTTTACTAAATAACACTTTGTATTATTTTTACCAGATTGCCTTAGAGGTAGTAAACACTATTATTATGCTATGTTCATTTTGTTTAACATATCCTTTCCTCATTCTAGACTGATTTCTTGGCCATAGAAATGCGTAAAGGAAAAGTGGATTTCTTATGGGATGTGGGATCTGGTGTTGGGCGTGCAGACTATCCGGATCTCACAATTGATGATGGAGTTTGGTACAGAATTGAAGCATCAAGGCAAGTTTTTAAGTTCTTCCATACTAATTGTATCACTCTCAAATGGTGATTCCATGCTCCAGATCCCAAGGGAGCCTAGTAAAAAGAGAACATTTTCAAAATGGCATCACACTCACGTAAATTCTTTTGAAAGTAGTTCTTCTGGAATGCATCCTATTCTTCTTTTAGAATCTGATACAATGTAATGCACAATCAAATATAAAATTTGAAAACAAATCAATTTCAAGGATCCTTCTCAGAGTGCAGTCAATAGTTATGACCATGTGGGAAGGAAAAGAAGACTCCAGGTGAGATGTCTTTTGTGATACCTTTCTCCCTTTTGTCTTTCTCCCTTTTGTCTTTCTCCCTTTTGTCTTCAAGGATCCTGCCCTCAGAGAGTAGGATGAAGTATAGCCTTAATAAGCAGAGAAGATTCTACTAGTGCTTTTGCAATATTGAGAATGTTGTATTAGCTTTTAATTTATTTATTTTTGTATGCACTGTTTTTTTTTGTTTTTTAAAAAAATTGTACGAGTGGAAAAGCAAAGTATAAATCTATTAAATACAAGAAATATTTTAAAAGTCCTATTGAGCTTTTAGACATCAGAATACGTATACCTTTCGTTAGTGGCATATTATTGTCCAAATGCATAAAGCAGTGACCTGTCTTACTTACCTATCATTTTGCCAATGTGGCTGTGACAAAAGTACTTTGTGAATAAAACAAATTGGGATGATGTGTTTCTCCTACTCATTAGGAAATGGACCTAGGAATAGCAACATCGGAGTAACGGGTTGTAGGAGCAATCCCTAAGCTGAAATCTTCTGAAGGATCTGTCTTCAGATCATTTCAAGTTTTTCCATCTACCATTCTCATCAGATTTTGTTAAAGACCCTACATTTTGCTGTAGCTTTAGAGCAAAATCATGGCAGGTAGCTCTATGAATACCAGCAATTTTGGAATGGTAGTCTCAGGCAAGAGACTAAGACAGAAGACTCACAGCCTTTTCCAAGGGATCAGCTCTTTGCATTACTAACTTTTATAGGAGCCTTGAGACCATATCAGAAAAAAAATGCAGCTTTCAAGTCATCTTTGAGATTAGGCTTTGAATCCTAATCCCTTTGACTGGAGTTTGAGCCCTTTCAAATATGTGTTTTGATCTGCATGCTGATTAAACTATGTCATTTGACATGTTCTATGTCTATCATATTAATCTATATCTATCATATTAAACTATGTCACTTGACTTGTTATATGATTATCACTATCACTGTGAAAATATTTACAGACTCCTCACATCCCGGATATAAACTGCTTCAACTCCTACCCTCAAAATGACACAATAGAGCATTGCACACCAGAACAACTAGACACAAGGACAATTTTTCCCAAATGCCATCACCCTGCTAAACAAATAATTCCCTCAACACTGTCCAACTATTTACAAAGTCTGCACTACTATTACTATTAATCTTCTCATCACTCTTTATCACCCATCTCCTCCCCCACTTGTGATTGTATTACTGTAACTTTGTCGCTTATGTCCTTATGATTTATATTGACTGTTTCCTAGTATGATTTGATTGCTTATTGTACCCTAAGACTATTATTAAGTGTTGTACCTTATGATTCTTGATGAATGTATCTTTTCTTTTATGTACACTGAGAGCATTTGCACCAAGACAAATTGTGTGTCCAATCACACTTGGCCAATAAAGAATTCTAGTCTAGTCTAGTCTAGTCTAGTCTATTTTCTATTCTATTCTATTCTATTCTATTCTATTCTATTCTATTCTATTCTATTCTATTCTTTTCTATTCTATTCTATTCCAATGGAATGGTCTTGTTCTGTTGGAAACTCAAAACTGAAGTACTTTTGTCTCGATCTGTTGAAGTGCCATTCACGATCTGGCTTGCTACACTGCCATAATAAATCCATTGAACTTATTCAGAGTGCAAAAGCATGTCTGACATGAAAAGAACAGACAAAGGAATAAACAAATGGAGAGTTGAGCCTTGGAAGTCTGAAGTGCTTCAGATTCAAAAGGGAGGGAGTGGAGGTGAAGAAGTGCTAAGAAAGAAAAAAAGATGAATATGTCTGTTTAGTAAAATGTAAAGTATTTTTGACATAAACTCATTGGAGTCTATAGAATAAATTGATGTTTGTTATTTTCCAGTATCTTTTATTTTCTGAGGTGGCATCTGCTCCAAATAAAGTAATTGTGACCTTTATCTTTTAAAAATAAATGAGCTGCATTTTAGAGATTTTAGATTTAGAGATGAAAATCTCCGCAAACTGTAGAAGCTAAATAACTAAGAAATGGTCCTCTCCATTGGTGTGGTGTGGACTTTCAGGCAACAGATGTGGTGGATTGAAATTATAGCCCACAGAATTCTGTTTCCATAGTGGAAAATTTTCTTCTCAGATTAAAATAATAAATTGGCTTCAGCTCATAACTTCTTGCCACAGGGATTACATGTTATCAGGCACCTATGCTTCAACCTAGTCAGTAGGAATCCATTCTGTTGGCTTACTCGTCACATAAAGTCTTGCCCTAACCATCTGTGATGACTCGGGGCATGGCACAAAAGCAACACAGTCAAATAAGCAATGAGTCCCTTTATTATCTCCAACTTTGCCCCCAATGTCTAGGTTACCTTCGGCTGGAGAAAAACTCTCCCAGGAACATCCTTTAACTGTAGAAAATTCAGTCCAAAACAAGGTACATTCAAACTATAAATAAAAATCCAAACAAACCAAGCTGAAGTAATTAATGTGACAGGGCAGGAGAAGGAATTTCAGACTTGAAAGCACAGCAAAACTCACACAGTTGGGAAGATGCCAGGAACACAGATAAGCCATGATGATACCAGATAAATTCATGTTTGCTCCCAACAGCTTGCTGTGCACAGTTTCCTCTTTTATACACTGTGTTCCCAGCTGCAGCTAATGAAGGGAATCAGTGCCCTTCCCCCTCCGTAAGCCATGCAACTCACGTTGCTCCCTTCTCCATTCCTCCCTGTGTGCCCTAGGATGAAGAGGGGATGGGCCTAGGTCTTCCTTTGAATTCCCTTTCCCTTGCTCTACCTCTCCCCTGCTGTGCCTAGCCAGACTTTGCCCTTCCCCAGTTTCTTCTACAGCCAACACAGCCACACTCCTATTTCCTGTCAGCTGTTTGGCTTCCCCTTCCGAGTCAGATTCCGACAGGGGCATGACACCATCAGAATCCATTGTGTATCATACTAACTTAAAACTTGAATACAGAAATTCACAAAATATCATCTTGCATATGTAAATATCTTCAAAGGTTGGAGAGAATGCTTGTATTTACATGAAAGTGAATATTAGTTGATGAGTAGCAAAACTCACCCCTTGTTTTTTTCTCTTATAGGACTGGAAGAAATGGCACAATTTTAGTACAGGCATTAGATGGTCCCAAAGCCACCATCATTCCAAGCATTTTCAGTGCAATTTCTCCACCTGGTTACACAATTTTAGATGTGGATGCAAGTGCCATGCTATTTGTTGGGGGTTTAACTGAGAAAATAAAGGTAATGAGTGATTCTCTGCTTAACTGGTCAATGTATACCAGTGGTGGCTAACCTTTTGGGGTTTGTGCCAAAAATTGCAAGCACGCACGCACATGTGCCAACCTCCCAGGTGATTTTCGGCCCATTTGAGGTCTTTTTCAGCCTCCCAGAGGCTCGAGGAAAGCCTCTGCAGCCTTTGTAGGCCGAAAAATGGCCCTGCTTCGTCACTTCTGGTATTTTGGCCTCAAATGGGCCAAAAATCAGCTGGGAGGCAGAGGCATGTGCAATGAGGTAAGATTGCCTGGGGCTTGTGTGCCCACACAAATGGCTCTGCGTGCCACCTCTGGCACACGTGCCATAGGTTTGCCATCACAGATATATACTTTTATTTGTTTTATTTGAAGCACTTTCTTGAAAGGGAGCAGTCTTAAATCACTGTCTTCTGTGAGATTTCAGAGAGTTGTGCAGAAAGTGGTTTCTAGACTGCAGTCTTATTAATTGCCAATAAAATAAATGTCACAATAATGACAGCACTTAGATCTGCATTACCTACTCTTATTTTCATGCAGTACCCAAGTAGTGTCAGCAACTGTTATTCCTTTCAAATCTTCTGAGCTTTTCACAAAATTGTGCCTAACTATGATGCAATAAAAGAGACAGGTTCCTTAATGTGCCATCAGCAAATACAACCATGTGACCTGTATTACACTTGATACAAAGCACATTTCCCACTTTAGATACAATTAGTTATTTATGGACTTTTATTGCAGCTGAAAAGATCCAAAGAATGGTTCCAATATTAATTGGAATTTGACACATTCTACAACGCTATATAATCATGAAACGATGAAATAACACTGTATTAATACTAACCCATAGAAAATCAGAGCCTAAAGCATCTTTGCTGTTGGGGTTGCGCTGCCACAAACACACCCTGTGCACATTCGGTTTCTTCTAAATTCTTGACTTCTGCTGTGGTGAAGTAGTGGTTAGAATGCAGTATTGCCTGACCCAGCTCAAGGTTGACTCAGACTTCCATCCTTCCAAGATCAGTAAAATGAGGATCCGGATTATTGGGGGCAACATGCTGACTCTGTAAACCTCTCAGAAAGTGCTGTAAAGCACTATGGAGCGGTACAGAAGTCTAAGTGCTCTTGCTATTGCTAAAGCACAATAGGAACCACTTCCAAATCTCAGACTGAGGCTATATTACTAATGGAAATGAGGTTTTTCTCTCAGTCCCTTGTTCAGAACCATAATATAAGAACAGATAGAAACTGGAATTCAGCAGTGTTAAACACTAATGTCATTTATATCTGACATCAGTCAGAATTCAAAATCAAATTTGCATATGCAATATGACATTTATCTATAGCACTAGGAAAGATTTGACTTGGTGACTAATTTACTCTAATCAGTAGCTTCTTCTAGGCTAATTAGAAAATGAAAAAAACAGGAGTTTTTCGTTGATTTTATTCGTATCTGACCATTGGAAAATGGCTTTGGACCTTCAGACGATTTGCCGGAAATCATTTTATTTAACCTTCTTTTACAATGAAATGCCTACAGCCGCTGCAATTTCCAGTGTCTTATTCAAGTGAAATATATGTGCCTATGTGTATTCCTATGAAACTCGCTAGACACGATGTCAAGTCAGCAGGCAAGCATCAGAAGCAGTACAAATGGAGATAGAAAGAAAGGACAGGGAGGGAGGGAGGGAGGGAGGGAGGAAGCTGCTGAAAACATCTATAATACAAAGGGCCTTCTCACCTCCAATATCCTCTTGGGTGGTCAAAGTTTGAAGTTGCTGATTACATCATGTGAAAAAATTGAAGGCACCCAAATGATCGTATAAACTTCCATGACAGGATGGGCAACATCGACCAGAAAATCAATTTTACGTTAAGAGATCTACACTTTTTTGAGATAGGCTATAATAATAGAGACTTGCAAGTCTTCAATATATTGTACATCCCCTCTCCTCCTTATACTCCAGTGAATCAGGGAACCATTGCTTCTGAATATTATTTTCCTCCCCAGGACTTCTCAAGCATTCTTCATCCCTCTGCCTAGGCAACAGGTTTTGCATATTTCTGTCCAGGTATCTCCCTTTTTCTCCATGGACTAAAATTTGGGTCTTCTCACTCTGTTACAGTGTCTTAACCACCACATTTTGAAATACATATAGTCATATTTTCACTGAACAAGGACTGGTTGAAGGATATCAGTATAACATTTCCTTCCTTCCTTCCTTCCTATAAAAAAGAGAAGTGGTAAAAATCAGACATTTGATTGTAGAATCCTATCCTGTTGTCCAAATAGGATAGGGTTACGCAAAGTACATAGCTGAACTCATGCCTGCAATAGATTCTAAAGTAAAATTGCGGATAATCAGTTCATTTTGCATGACCCTACAGAGACACCCATATGATAAAATGAGCCTTTAAAACCTGTTCCAATCTTCCAAATAGCTCTGACTGCAACTAATCAATCAGATTTTAAAAATAAATTGTAATTTAAACTGAAACCAGCTAGACAGATTCTGGGCTTGAAACACTCTTTAGAACATAAATTAAAAGAATTACAGCTTTTATTTAACCCAAAGACAAGATAAAGTTTTGCAAAGACCTCAGTTTCCCATTTTTTATTTAAATGTTGTTTCCATACATTCATTAAGTTTGTTTATAATTGCATGTACAGGTTTTTATAAACCTTGCACTGGGATGGATAGGTGGGTGAATTGACAGATCCAGCTTGGATCCTAAACTCTTTTTTAAATCCAATTTGGCTTCACTCCTCTTAAATCATTTTTATTATTGGCATCTGCTTCAATCTCAAATTAATTTTCTATATCTTTTTTTAACTCTTTCTTCTCAACTGATGCTTTTCCGGTAGTTTAAATTCTAGCGTTATAATCCTAGTGCTATAAATAGATACATAATCCACAGATAATTTCATTCATGTATTTCAATATTATATATGCATACACTTTGAATAAGTGTTACCATTTGAGTTAAAATGATGCATTAATTTGTGAGAAAATATCTTCAGAAATTATACTGTGGTTTTGGAATTCTTAATTACATATTTAATTCATTCATTATTCGACTTAGAGATCCCTCAACCCCAAAATATTCTGGGAAGTTCACACCATAAAAACAAAATAACAAATATACATGAAAGTAAAACATAAAACAGTAAACAAGGTGGGGAATTAATTAGCAATAACAACTATTAAATATCATACACATAGCAAGAATTCCAACCACCCTAGTCCATTAATTTATTTATGTAATGCCTTGAAGAAGAATGTCCATTAGGGCCGTGAAAGTTCAGATTAATGTTAATCATGGGTAGGTGATAAGGGACCTTTCCAAATAGTTGCTAGGAGCTAATGCTAACGCAGAAGAAATAAAACAAAAACAATAATAAAACCAACATCTGCCTATCTTAGGACCTTGGAAAGGATTCTCTATGTGGATAGAAATACCAAATTCAGTCTAAACATCTGTCTGATGCGTGACCAACAGGAACAACTATATTACTCTTCTCTTTAAAAACCCAACATAGTAGATTGGTATAACATTAAAAAAATGTCCTTTTCTGAACGTGCTTCTCTTGTTCACTTTTTCTTTTTTAAAAGTTCTTTTCAATGTGAGTTGATTAGATTGTAAGCCAAGTTTGCTATATTCACAATGAATTTGGAAGTTTTTCAGTTTTCATGCCATGACTGAAAGTCAAGTTTCTATTCTCCAGATGTTCATATATTAATATTTTTAATATTCATAATTCCTCATGAAAAGTACCAGGTGCTTATATGTCTCAAATTGCTAAATATCTGGAAGTAAAATGATATTGATGAAATGAGACATAAAAGATAATTAGGTGCTTTTGAAAAAGACAACTTCCTGTGAGAACAATTCTCTTTCAGCAATTCAGCAATTACAACAAAGTGTTCTTCAAACTGCTATGTTTATGTGCTTATATTGCTAACTTGTGATAATTATGATTCTACAAAATCAAAATGCTATCTAAAAAAGAAAACTAAGACTCGTCCTAATATCCCTAAAGCATCCTCTTGCTGACTGATTTTAAGGTAGCTGTTCTCATTTTTTAAACAAAAATATCTTTAGTTATTTGATGAATCAAAAACTTCTCATGCATGTATATATTTTTACCCAAGAGTTGCAGTGAAACTCTTATATTTCTTTATAATTACCATTTTTCTGCATCAATTATCTGTAATTTGTTCATAATGGTTGTAAGTGAATGGATGGCCCTAGAAATTTATACAGGGAGCCCTCGAGTTACAACAGTTCTGTAAGCTTTCTATATCTGTAAGCCAAGGGTTTCCAAACTTGGCAACTTTAAGATTTGTGGACTTCAACTCCCAGAATTCCTCAGCTAGTCATGCTGCCTGAGCAATTCTGGGAGCTGAAATCTCACAAGTCTTAAAATTGCCAAGTTGGGCGAGTCCTGCTGTAAGCTTTCTCCCATTCAATACGATGAGAGATGAACCAGCTCTTTGAGGTCCTCAGGAATGCCAGCAGAGTGGAAGCTGCCTGGATCTCAGGGACAACCTCATTCCAGAAGGCAGGTGCTGTGACACAGAAGGCATGTTTTCTCTGTCCATGTCAATTTGTCTCAATAACTTCTACTTCTGTTGAAAATTAGGCAGTATGTGGGAGCAAACCTCAAAAGGCAAGCTATGGACAAATACCGGTTTTTGTTACAAATTGTAATAGAGTCTATTAATAAAAGATTCAATACTTAGCCAGCATACTTTCTCTTTCCAGAAATCTGATGCTGTGAGAGTCACTACTTTCACAGGATGCATGGGAGAAACCTATTTAGACAGCAAACCAATAGGGCTATGGAATTTCAGAGACATTGAAGGAGAGTGTAAAGGCTGTGCTGTCAGGTAAGGGTTTTTTTTTCCTCTTAATATTATTTATTGTAATTATTTAAAAAAACATGTTCATGTTTTTAAGCCTAAATGATCCATTTCAATTATTGATTATATTCTATTTTTTGTCGAAGATTATAGTATAATTTTGACCATTATCACCATGAAAATGAATAACTAGGTCATTTATCACTTCTCTGAATTATATCTAATAGAAGAGGGCAATGTGACTGGAATTTAAGGAATTTAAAGTCCTTTCTTTCTTTCTTTCTTTCTTTCTTTCTTTCTTCCTTCCTTCCTTCCTTCCTTCCTTCCT